ACATTGAGTACAATCATACCTCTTGTTTAACAGTGTCTATCTGACTCTCAGTTATTTTGACATCACACATCTGCAATGGTAGTTATTTTTAGAAACCAGTCAACTGTTGAAATAGTCTTGTTTATCAGAAGTTAACGAAATACAATTGATAATTGTTGTCAACCTTGGTTTCCATAATTATGAGCTTTCAAAACGGTTGGAAGTTAATACTGTTGCTGAAAAAAAAAATTTCCTCATGCCAACCCTCCTCTAAAAGCACAGTATCAATTGAAATAGGCATTTTATGATAATACATACCTCATTTAACTCTTCCCCGAGTAGAGGTCAGTTTTTGAATCTTTTGTGGGCCTCAGCTCTACACAGATTACACCACCGTGTCTCTGGTCTATAAGTAGAACTTTTCTGTCCAACTTGGTCCAGAATTTTGCAACAGCTTGCAGGGATACGATGGCTGTGCAACTTCAACGAATGCCCCCAAGTCGACGGACACGAGCAAGTTTTGTCATCCTCTCGGCGAATGCGGTCGAAATGCAGTTGACAGACCGACTCACTGGATCCAAAGCCACCAGCTCTACAAACCTGAGGGGTTGGTGACCTCAGAACACCACTGCAGCCACTATTTAGCCGTCTGGTTTTCGCCTTGGCGCACTACATCCCATAAAAACAATGCCCTGTTTCAACGGACTCGCAGATCAACTAGTACCCCACGAAACAACAACAATTTCACATCGTGTGCAACCTCCGTTAATTTTTGGAAAATTATATAATAGAGAACAAGAACTTTCCTAGATTTGAGGCGAGTTTTAAGGCCAAGTTTGCAGTATCTTTTTTAAGTTTTACACTTTTGTGAAGCAGGTGAGACTCGCGGCGAAAACCATTATGAATTTACCGGCATTTTTTTGTTTTCGCAAGGTGTGCCGCTGACCAGCAAAATACTGGACCGGACCCCGAAAAACATATCTCCGCCGTGTCCCACTTACACCCCTAGCCAAAATGATTTAGTCCATTAGAAGAAAAGCAGAAAGTATGGGTCTGACTCTGACTTAATGGAAAAAGTCCAAAAGAAGTACAGCCTGATAAGAACTTATCCAAGGTGTTTACTTTTATGCAAAAAGCAAATGCCTTATGGAGCCTACCTTCCCCACCCTGAGCTTTCCATACAAAGCCATTTGAAACCCACCCTTAGTGGTTGGGCTGAAGCTAAGCACTAGCCTTGTCGCTAACCTCACTGTATTTTCGATGGCCAGGTTCAATTGATACAACAAGCACCTTGTAGCTAGGTTGAACAATTAGTTCATACGTCAGCGTGCGTTCATCGAGATATGAAGCACGCGGGAAGTTTGGAGAGCACGAAAGATGCGTAAGAGTCGCTCGAGGCGTAGCTGAGAGCAACTCTAGCTTCTTGAGTGCTCTCCAAACCTCCCAAGTGCCTCATATCTCGATAAACGCACAGGTGACGTATGAACCAATTATTTTATAACATTTTCAACGCTGTAGTTTATGTATAAAGGGCAGAAATTCCCTCTCCTACGCGTACGCTTTAATGCGTTGTTTATTTTGTTTCGGAAGAGTATTTCACTATGCTTCAATGATCTTGTCTTTGATTGGTCAAAAACTGACAGGTGAATTAAAGCGTGGAAATGAAGTTAGAATTGCGAAACGAGGTGAAACCGTTGATTGTTTTGTTTTCCCTTTGTCTGGGTTCTTTCTCGGGAGTTAAAAAATCTATTCCCGAAGAAAAAGTAGGCAGATCTTCATTGGCTTGTTCGCTTGTTGCCATATCTAATTGAACTTTTTTGCGGACGTTTTTACCCGTTTTTCAATGAAAAATGCCGAAGTCACTCGCGAGAAAAAATTTTTTTTGCGAGGCATTTGTCTGCTGACGTCACCAGCGTGCTCAGTGAAAATTGAAGCACGCTTGCACAATTGAATTTGATTGCACGAATTTACAAGCTATGTTATAATTTCATTTGAAGGCATGCATCGCTCGCCTTCAAGCTAGTAAAGCTGAAGAAAATGCACGAAGCTTAGCATTCAGGCTAGGGCCTGCATGCAGCCTAGTCACCAACTTATCCAATGGCGGGTTACAAATGACTCTCTGTGGAAAGCTCAGGGATGGAGAGGGGAAGTTTTTGAAACCCAAAGTCAACTTGCATTTTTCCTTAGGCTGGAAGGGGGCTTGTCTTATTCATCTTGGTTGATACCCTGTACTGTTGGATTGGTAGTCAGGCCTGTTTCCTTTCTCACCTCAGTCACTGGGTTAACACTCTACGGCTGGAGGGTGGTTGAATGGCTAAAGTTTGGCTTCGGGGGAGAGGGCTAGATTGACATTACAATAACATGGTGGCTAGGTTTTCGAGCCAGTCTGGTTGAATAAAAAGCAGGACGCTTAAAGTCAAGGCTAGTACCCACAGGCAGCTCAGCTACGAACATAAAACTTATCCAAGGGTGGGTTGCAAATGATTCTGTGTGGAAAGCTGAAGGGGTGGAGAGGGCAGATTTTTGAAACACCTTGGTTAACTGGCATAACTCCCTAAGGCTGAAAGGAGCTGGTCTGATTCATCCAGGTTCAAAGCCTGCACTACAGGATTAATAGTCAGGCTTGTACCTTGTTACATTTCACCCACTAGGCTAACACTCCATGATCCATGGTTAGAGGGTGACTTAGTGTTAAAAGCATGCCTTTGGCTCAATTAACCTTGCAAAAACCCTGTGTTGCTAGGTTTTCACTAGAAGGTGGGTCTCACCCACCTTTATGCCAGTCTGGATTAAAAAAAAAATGTCGAGGGATTAAAGTTTGGGCCTGTGTTTACATGCATTCCAGTCACCATCTTATCCTAGGGTAAAGTAACTCTGTGTGGAAAGCTCAGTGGGTGGGGAGGGTAAGTTTCTCAAATCCCTTGGTGAACTGGCATTTTTCTCTAAGGCCGCAAAGGGCTTGTCCTATTCATCGTGGTTGAGAGACTGCATTGCAGGATTGGTAGTCAGGCTTGTACCCTGTCAAACCTCAGCTACTGGGCTAACACTCACCGGCTGAAGGGTGGTTGGGTTTTTGAAGAATACCTTTCGGGAGAGGGCTCAGTCGATTTTGCAAAAACCTTGTGGCTCAGAGGTCGGCATCGCCCGACCTCAAACCAGCCTGGCTGAGCAAAATGCAGGGAGTAAACGTCAAGGCTAGTGCCTGCATGTAACGTAGCCACCAAACTATCCAAGGCTGGATTGCAAATGGCTTTGAGTGGAAAGCGTAGGGGGCTGGGAAGGGTAGACTTTTGACTTATCCGTCATGAAGATTTTTTTGTGGACATCTTAGTCGAGTTCTTCTGAGGCTGGATTTGTTTTGGACTTTGTCTATTTATTCAGAGTCGGACCCATGCTTTCTGATATCCCTTCTAGTGAACTAGATCATTTTGACTGGGGTTGGGGTGGGGTTTGGGAAATTTTCAATTTTGAAAGATCGCTTGTTTTCTTGGATATTGACTATGAGTTTGTTATCTTTGTGGGTGTGTTTTGGCGAATCCATATAGTCGTCATTATTAAAAACTGGATCATTGGATAATGCAATTCAATAATTTTTATTGGCTTAGCCATTATGGTATATGAGCCAATATATCATAATCTACAAATATGGAAAGCGTACACATCAGCTTAAAATTAAAAGGGAGCTAAAAAATTTAATAATTTAATTTCATGTTTTTAATAAAACAATTACTCCACTCGCGCTTGTTGGAAATGAGATGATTAAAGCCAACTCGGCGCTACGCGCCTCGTTGGCCATCTATCATCTCATATCCAACGAGCGCTCGTGGAATAATTGTTAATTATCATGTCATTTGACCTGTATAAATGGCTTTTTAATGACTTCTGAGAGAGCACTGGGAGTGTTGTGTATAAAAGGCTAAATGCTTTTTTTTTTAAAGTAGTTTGATTGTTTTTATGCGATTTTTTTGCAGCAGGAACATATGGAGCAAGATGTTTTGGAAAAAGATATTGCTTAGAGGAAGGAATTAAATAATATAGTAAGATTTTGGCTCCTTTTCACCCCTTTTCCTCTCTCCAACTTTCTCACCTACAAGATCTCATTAGTAATTCTCCTTACTATCTGCTATACAATTCTTATGAAGTAAGTTTGGAGAATTTGGTATTGGATCGGCTAATAAACTCTAAATTGATATTTTTCTTGATTCTCTTCACTTATCTGCTTGATATTGTATTGGTATTGTAAGGAGAAATTCTGTTTTGGTCACTCAATGGGATTTAAAGGGTTCAATCCTCGCCACGCAGGCTACGGTTACCTGATAGTGGTTGATCATTCATATTGCACGAGTAGAACGTAGAAATTCAAACTGAAGTTTCATTTGAATAAGCTTGGTAGTCTTGCAGATGTAAAAGGAACTTGCTGTTCTGCATATTGCCACACCCTAAGGGCCGGTTTTTAAACCAAAGGTTAACCGTTGTTTTACAAAAGCGCTTCCTAAAAAATCCCCAATTTAGCTGGACCTTAATCTGAACATTCACCTTTTTAAACGGTGTCAAAAAGCCTGAAAGCCAACAGTAGGACATCAACTAATTAACCCAACCCTCTAATAGAGAAAGCCTGAGGTCCAGCGATTACGTAAAACCGTGGTTTGGGTCAGACCTCGTGAAAATAACTGGCCTTTATAAGGTGTTATACTTCATGTTCTGTTCAAAATCTCTTGTTAAGAACAAGAATACGGCTATCAAAACCCACAGCCTCTTAAAGATCTCTGCCTAGTTTGTATTCCATCAGCGTATACAGTCGTAAGAGTGGATAACAGGCAAAACCGAATCAAATAGTATGCATAGTTTAACGAAAACGCAAGGGTGGGCGAGTCTTAATTTTTCTTCCCACATTTTCGTGGGCACTATTCAAGAAAAACATTTTGTCAAGGATGGAAACATAACTCCAAGGGCTTCTTTATTTCAACGGCTACAAATATGAATTAAGACAGGGTTTTAATAAAAAGTTCTCAAACTAATCCAATGCAGCAGCTCCAGAGATGATCTCGATCAATTCCCTTGTAATCACAGCTTGGCGAGTTCGATTGTACGTCAAAGTTAACTTGTCAATCATTTCACCTATAAAAAGACAAGGAAACAGTCCATCATCATCATCATCATGGTTATTTGTTCAAGCAGGTTGAATTTATTGGCAACTGTATAAGCTGATGTGGACCTGCTGTTTTCCCACCAACCCACCCCTGGGGAGGACATCCAGCACACAGTAATCTCGTGCGTGGGAAATTAACGTCTCTTACCCCTTACCCTTTAAGAGACGGGACCTCCGGCTTTACGTCCTATCCGAGAAGACGAAACAATGTGAGTGAAGTGTCTTGCTTAAGGACTCAACGTTAAGCCCCAGCCAGGACTTGAACCCGGGCCGTTTGACCCAGAATCCAGCGCACTGACCACTGGACTACTCACGCCTCACTCGTTCTCTGCTAAAGGCGTAGTGATCTGTATTCTTTGTGGTGTATGTTCTGCATGTGGAGGGGAAATTGGAGAAACAGCATCAGAGAAAGGTAAAGAAATACACGAAGATGGAGTGGAAGACGATAAAGGAAAAGAAAACCGTGTGGTAGATGGTGTAGAAACAAGAGAGGGGTCCGGACTAGCTGTGCTTCCAGTTGATGATAAGCTCAGTTGGCTCGATGTCAGTCCTTTCCTCTCCATTTTCTCCTCAAAAGGTAACAGAAGAGCCTCCATCAGATCCGCATTCTGTGTACTTGAGGTCGCTTTTGTTAGATTTAGCGCACCTTTTGCCATTTTGACGCGGTCTTTGATGCCAAGAAGTCTGCTCTCTTGAGGAAGCTCTCTGTTGAAAGAGAACTGAAGACCTCCTTCTGTTGGACCGANAGAATTTAAACTTATTCTTAAGCTTAATGAGGAGTAAATAAATATTTCTCCTTACCTCCTGAGATAGAATTCAAAGTATCAAATGAATGAAGTGGTTTTCTCTGAGTCCTGTATGAAACCACTGACCTGATGAAAAACAAAAAAGAACACTTTGTCACCATGGACCTACAAATGCAGTTAAATGGCCTAGCCTACCATGAGTCTGCTACCGCTCAGTGATAGAGTATCCAAAGTACAAATTGGAAGGTGGTACAGGATGAGTTCATTTTTCTGAGTATGCCTGTGTAATTTACTGAATAACAACATCTATCACGAAAAAATCAATTCATTTGTCTCTCACTGACAAACACTGAACTGATACATTTCTGGACTATTGTCTTCTACTATTAAGAATATGCAGGGCTGTAGCTGAGAAACTAGGCTGCCGGCTGGATTTTCAGGTGGTGCCTCTTATACTGACAAGCTTTATAGAGTGATTGCCAACTAAAAATCCAAATGGAGATCACAATCAGCAGCCACATTTAGCAACAACCTTGAACATTACCCTGAATATGTACAACTTACTTGAACCAGTTATAATACATCTCTCCCATATCAAACTGGAATCCACTATCAAGAATTTCCTGTGCAATGAAGGTGGCTTCACAGAACTGAGGGGGCCTCTTGCCAATCTCTGAAAAGCTCATCAGCAAATAGTCACCTGAAAAACAATAATAATCATATAAAAAAAATGGATTAAAAAGAATCTTCAGGAGACCGTTTATTGTGAACAAAAGCAATGAGAAGCAATTATACAGGTACCATATCTCTCACGTATGACATACACATTGATTGGTCAATTTAACAGGCCGTGTTTCACTGTAAGGCTTAATAAATTCAAAGTTTGTCTTATCAGACCATACTGCAAGTGACAGAACCTGGTTTTTTTCTGCATGGAATTTTGTTCTACCCTCATTGCACTAGGGTCATAAATCCAAGCAGAAAAAAAAACGTGATTGTAACTTACAGTGCAGACCTTGAATACGCCTTTCCCAAGATATTTGAAATGCAAAGGTGGCTGGAAGAGTGTAGCTCGTAAGCGAGGCTATGGTAAGTACATTTCCAAGATGGCGGAAATCGAATGGCTTCAGTCACATGCCCGCAAAGACCATCTACAAACATGGCTTAAAGCTCGCGGGTTGAAAACAACAGGACGAAAGGAGGAACTTGTCCAACGTGTGGTTGAAGCGGATAAAGATGGGACTGAGACGATCGAAGAAAGGGAAATGAGAGAGAAACAAGAGCGAGAAACGAGAGCTGCTGAAAAACTTCGCAGTCCATCTGAGGATCTTCCAGATCCTAGAGCTTTGAACAACTGATCACGTTCAGGCGGCAATGGTGACGAAGACTCAGCCGATTTTCCTCCTTCAGTATAATAGATTGACGTACTAGAAACAAAATGTATCAAGATCGAAACTCATAAATTGATAATGTTTAGATCAAAGAGCATGTTCTTTAATTTTGTTGTTCTCTTCTTCTTGTTGTTGGGAAAATGTATTCACATCTTCGTCGCTCACCACACCACAACAAATCTTGCGGCCATTATTCCAAATAAGAATCAAAGCAAGTTCGAATTCATTCAGCAGAGTTTGAGAAAGCAGTGACATGGTTGCTCAATTTCACCACTCATGTTACACAGTTATGTAGGGAAGTCATATTGATTGTAATGAATTCAATGTTTAATTTGCTAGTACAGCACTCCCGGCTCCATGATTATAATAAATAACAGGTACACGCATGTAGTGGCCTATTGCAGTCATCTGAGGGACTTTTTTTTATAGAGCATGAGATAATGTAATGCTGATATTTTTAATGGCAGATTGAAGTGATAATGAATACTGCTGACAGAGATGACCTGCAGAGAAAGTTTGGATGCAAAGGACAACATACTGGATTTGTTATATATGTTAAAGAAGCTGCTTCCTGCAGGTAAAAATAAATATTGTTTAGTGGAGGGATGAGGGGATAATAAACTGCCACTTGCAACTGTTTAACCCTGGCCCCCAGTTACAGGCCTATCTATACCTGTGAACATGCAAGAAAATACATGCATAGATTTAGTTATTAAAACTCCCTGACCCCCTGGATATTAAAGCCCTCCTCAACCCTTTCTTGCTTAAATAAGAACAAAGGTGGAAGTACTACTGCTGCAAATTAGACATTAAAATTTGTAATACTGAGTTAAGAGAAAAGATGGGCTCCAGGGAGAAAGTCTGAACTTCTTTTTAGTTATGTTCCAATTTTGTTCAGGTCGTTAGTTTTTAATTTAATTCTATTCCAAATGTATTGAAATGAATGCAATTTATCAATGCAAAACTTTTTTTCATTTTCCTCATTATTCATCTCCTTCTCTTCTTCCTTGTTTAAGTATTAATTTTCAATGGTAATTACACATTATTCACTATATTTTATAAAGTAGGTTAACTCAAATGCTGTTGGTCAAAATGCATCACTTACCTGAGTGTGCCCCAACTAAAACTGGGGAGTGTACTGGTGATATTTCTCAGTTTATTTTTATAAATTTTCAAACCTAACCTTTGATTTGAGAAAAGGCTATGTTTTAAATATAATTGAAGATAATTGGACATACTGACATTGTTACAAGCTCACACTTTTTTCTTGAGCTTCACTCTTGGAAAACATTTTGTTCCTGACTAATAAGACGAATTCTACAGACAAACACCTGCACGCATTTTTGCACCAAATGGAGGTTGTTGATCATAAATGAAATGTCACGAAAAACTAGTAAACATTGGCCAGTGCCTATACCCTACAACATATCAAGTTCCCACCATAAGCAAAACACCAGATGAAAATTGTTTATCAGTATATCCAGTCCCTCAAATGTCTTCTGGACATGAGTGCAGAGTTTGTTGATTATATTATCATAATACTGTCCTGGGATGTGATATTGAGGTGGCGATGGTGCTAAATACTTGTTACATTTAATTCCTTACTAAGTTGGCCACATATGTTTGTACCTGCTGTAAAAGAGTTTATTTCTTTTCATTATGATTAATATTTACTTTAATTTATACTCACAATGCTATCCCCATTACAATTAATACAGTAACTCTAACTTAAATATATATATACTCTAGTTTGAGCACTCTGGCATGGCTTAGACGATACCACAAAGGTTGGCTCGTTTGGGGTGACCCTGTGGGTTCTCCGCCATCCTAGCATTAGCACTGCACTGATGAGGCCCAGAAGGCCGAAACAGTACTGTCTGCAGTTAGTTATATATATATATATATAGATATATTAGAGAGGTAGAGAGCACAACATATCACAGACACAGTGCAAATACTTCAATTAGATTTTGAAGCATGAGTTAGTCGATAATAAAAATAGACAGTGCAGATTTTCAAGGAACCATCCACATGCATATTTCCTCCACGCAGTATCACAACAAGAATTCTCATAACAATGGTTCCTATCTTTTCCTAAAATCTTGAAGCTTCTTATATCTTAAGGTAATACACTTTTCACTCTCCTTCTTGGCTTCTACTTTGTGTAGAAACAAATTAAACTTTGGAAGTGACTTATTTCTTCTACACTCCCATATCCACAGTTTACCAGGGAAGCAATATCAGATAATTTAGTACTAGTAGGTAATTTCTACTTAAAATGCCAGTTATAATTTCTGTTAGAGATAAGTTCAGATTTTCACTCTGAGAATTAGACCACCAACTGCAAACCTGTTCTAGAAGGCTCATGCATACTGAGCAGTAATAAACAGACCATCTGATAGGGTATGAAAAAAATGGAAAATCATGTGGACATTTTCGGCAATATTATGCAGAAGAAAGTGATGATTATGCAGAAAAGATGCCAGAGAAGACTTATACCACAGACTTAGAAGACTTATACCATCTCTTTTATCATAAAAGAGATGGTATAAGTCTTCTTTGAAAATTGCGCAGAAGGAACACACCTTTGACTCAATTAACCCAATTTTAAATAATTTGGTATTTGCATGTAAATAAAATGTTATTATAATTATTTGTACTGAAAATACCAGACATAAGTCTCACCTGCCATGTTATAGGGGATCAAGAATACCTCATGCAATGGGTCTGAAAGTTCCAAATCGGCTGACAGGGTTTTTAATCTATTCCCTGGATATTTAGCTTTATTAGTAATCAGCAGTGAATAGAGCTGTTTTGACTCTGCTGAGTATGTGTCGAATTCGACATTATTGTATGTGAGTGTCATAGCATCAAATTCCACTGGGCGGGTGGAAAAGAGGATAACTTGTCCTTAGGCACAGACAATTGTAAAGCAGACCATGTCAAAAAATTGGAATCAAGCCCTGTATTCAAGAGCATATATCATCCAAACTAAACAAATTAGATTATTTAAATAAATAATTCCACAGTCTGCACATTTTTAGAGAAGATAGATTTGTTATCAATTCTTATCTCTTTATTATTCCAAATTACATAATGGGCATAATTAATATCAGAGAAAGCATTTCCAAAATCTGCCCACCAGTCAAGTAACTGCTGATAACCATTTAAACTTAAATTGTGATCCCTTACATCATAATTGCATTTCAAGAGCAGAGTTCCTTCATATTTTTTCAAATGAAATGCAATTGAAAATACAACTTCCATGGACCTACCTGCTCATTAAGAACCCGTGGAATCCAGGAGTGCACTATGGCTTTCATTTGGGTTTCAAGATCCGTAACGGATCCAGGCCACCATTCTTCAGTGAGTTAATGACAGAGTCTATAGTCACTTTGTCTGGACCTTTCCACAACAATTAACTTTACATATCATAGTCTCCATCTGTTTAATGATTTCTTGTGGGGTTTCCAATATTATCAAAATGTTTAACAGCTTTGGTATAAGAAACTATTTTGTAATGGTCACTTTGCCAAACAAGGACAAACCCCTCAAACTCCATTCATGATTGGTTGATCATTTTTTGAATGTCACTTAATCTTTCATGAAAATTTTGTTCAATGACCTTTCCTTGATCACACGAGAAGTGAATTCCTAGCATTTTAACTCCAGTGTACCACTCAAGACCCATACATTTTGCTAATGAATTCTTATTTGCCCCAATCCATATCACTTTAGTTTCTTAAATAAATTATTCATTTTTAAACCAAAGCAGTTTTTCAAAATTGTTCAGGATTTGCAAGACGATTTCTACCGAATAGGTGTTCAGGTCT